CCAAGTGAAGGGGTCGAGGTGACTTTCAAGTCTTAAGACTTCACGAATATAAACAAATGTGTGGCGTGCATTATCTTCGTCAAAAAAAAGCTAACCATCTTAGAACGGCTTTGGACACCTGTTGCGCTTGTTTTATTAAAGTGTTTTTCATTTTCCTCGGTTTTTAAGCGCAACGAAATATTTTGAGATTTCTACAAACATGTTTGTAATTTTTATATTGTTGTCGGGATGAGCTTTATACGATATTATATGTTTCAACGACAATTTTTTTTAAACAGTAAATATTTATCGTGAAGGGCTAATTTTGAAAAACCATTTTTATTTTTGAATCTTTTTCGTGTTATTCATACAATCATACCATCACACGGCGAAAGACAAGCGACTCTCAGTATTCGCTTTATAATATAGTTTATTGTTCGACACGATCGCGCAAAACTGACGAGAACGATATTATTATTCCGACAATAATGATGATGTATAATACGGTAACCTCAATAGGTACGAACAAAACGAACGGCGATCTGGTCGTCCACCAAGCGGGCCCGGATCTGCAGCGTGGAGCAACAAGTCGCACGCGCATTCCGCACGTCCGCCGGAAGTGTCGCAAGCGTCCGTCATCCGCAGACGCGCGAGACGTTCTAGGGGTTGGGCGCGATTTTTCGTCGCGTCGAACGACTGCCGCGGACGACGATCGGTTAGGATATTACATCGGTTGATATGATATTATTCGGAAACGCGGCAAACAAAACAAAACCGTACACAACGCATCTGCACAGCGATCATCGACGACGACGGTGACGGCTGTTCAGATGTATGCGGAATTATTTATATTAGAAATTATTGAAGATTTTTTCTGGGATCGTCTTTGGGACGGCGTCGTATGTTTCGGATCATCCGCTGGAACGCGAGATAAGACTGAGGAGATGATCTGTCCTGCAGTGCAAACTATCGTTGCCGTTTCACCGAACTTTATTTAACATCATTAAGTCATAACCAGCTCGCTTTTACGCCATATTGACGGTGTGCCACCGATTTTCTATCGATTCGTTCGTTTTTGATTGGGTAACGCCTCCTCGGTGGGCAACGTGTATAGTACCTAAGTACTGGACGACTAAACGAAAAAAAGTATTTTTAAAAGACACTTTTTAACTTAAAGGCTTAAAGCCTTAAAGCTGCAGTGACGCATCAAGCGTATTTTGAACCCCGAACAGAAGTGTTCAAAGAATGACCCACTCACTATACCCCGTACGACGTAATAATGTGTGTAGTTAAAGCTCTATGCTGTATATAATCTATGCATAATTTACCTAGATCGATGACTTAAATATTCTTATTATTCATCCATCGAAATCATTATTTATACGCGTTATATCTTGTAAGGAGATGAAGTATAATTTAATATCAATTATTAGTCATTTAGTTATTTATCATACGATATTATCTAGGTATAGATTAATTTTATATTGTTTTTATGCATAATATTTTAACAATGTTAAATATGTCGTAAATCCTACTACGATTTAAGTTTAAAATAAATTCATCAACTTACAAAGAATAAACTATTTTTTAGATTTAATAATAACCATATTTTTTTACATATATATACGTAATAATTTATTTAGTAATTTACTTTTTTCTACAACGAGGTTATTTTTATTTCTTCATCGTTCAGTTCGATTAGTATTATTTCTCAATAGCCATTAACATAAAATTTTCATTGCCCATCATACTCTTAGTTGAGTTTATATATATATACCTACTGGCTACTTCAGTATTGAAAGTTTGCCAAATTCAAATTTGAATATATGTTCGAACTTTTAAGATAAACTATATTTAATTAAGGCCTTATAACAGTTATAACAACAAAGAAAAAAACCATTTAATTAAAGCCTTATAAAAGTTATAACAAAGAAAACAGTTTTGACAGCTTTTGTTTGGCTTTATTTTATTCGATTTTTTAATCTTTCTCGTAATGAGTATTTTCACCATCTTAAAAATACATTATATCATATTCATCATTTTTGATAGTTTTTAATATTTAAATTATACCGCTGATAAGTGATAGGTACTGCTTCGGGCTACAGCAAGTTAATAGCAAACCATTTATGTTTATAGTTCATATAAATACCAGTTCAAATACTTTTTTCAAATCGGATTTTTATCAATCCAATTATTTTTATAAATTCAATACCCATTACTCATTGATAAAAATTATATATTTTTAATAATAGAGGTTACCTTACTTACTAAACATTTTACTACAAGATAATATTATGATATCTTTTAGATATCATATAAATTAGACCTCAATATTGTAGTTATTTTATTTTAATAGCTTAAAAATATTCTGAGGGTATTTATTAATTTAATTTTAAATATCAATTACTTTTATATTATTTATATTATTATAATTGCGTAAGTAAGTACCTAAAAAATTAATATTCTTCCATAAAGCATAAACAAAAGCTTCAGGCGTGACTTATTCATAAAGTTTGATGGTTGCAAAAATATTTGATGATTTTTATATAATAATAGTTATATTAGTGCATGGGCGTCCGCAGACATTTTTCTAGGGGAGGGGGGCAAAATTAATTTAAAAAATAAATGAAGATTTTTCTGTATATTTTGTTTATAGTACATTATTATATTTTGTCATTATAACAATTAGGTAATACTATTATCACATTTTATTCATAGAACATTATTATGTTTCGTCATTATTAGGTAGCTACATTAAATTATTACAATTCGGTAACAAATTTAAAATTTTAGGGGAGCAAGTGCCTCCTCTTGCCCTTCCCTGGGGGCGCTTATGTATCAGTACTAGATTTAGTAGTAGTGCAATGGGTGGAATGATGAATGAGCAGAATTCACAAGGTTAAGTTTATCTTAATAGCCTCAGCTCATCGAGTTAATGTTCTATTTTATTTTTTTTTTAACTTTAAAAAATCCAAGATCCTTCAGAAAATATTTATGTAAAATTATTTTTTTTCGATTTTGAGTTATAAATCGGTAGGTAGGTACCTAACATGTTTTTATTTTGACAAATATTATTTCATTAAAAATAAAGCTTTCATTATTTGATATGCTTTTAATTATAAATTTAAGCCTTCTAACTTACGATTCATTGAGTTATTTTCAATTTTCCCTACATTTATATGAAATATAAGAAGTAGGTGTTAACATCAATATAAGAATATAAGACATTTTATGACAAATATAATAACACCATTAGCGCATGTTAACTTTCGAACAAACTCCCCTCGGGTTATAGCACTGGTTTGCCACCGACTACTGATATTAGATAATGATTAATGGTGATAAGATGATATGGTTTGATGAACAACTCAGTATCATATTATGTGTACTAAAAAATGATGTAATGATTTAAGTGATTAGTACCTGTGCGTTGTGCGACAATATACAATTATTATTTAATATTTAATAGTATGATTTCAGTAGTATAATTGAATGGGTTATTTTTGGAACATTTCCAGAAATTCAAAATTTTACATGAGAGACAAAAAACTTAATTTGGTAATAAGTAATAACGGTTAGATTTTTAGAGAATTTTATGTTTACGTCAATATCTTAACTATAGTATCTTATACACCTGTAAAGTGTAAAGTAATGAACGATTTTACCAAAATCTATAATGTGATAAAATAAAAAATAGAAAATGGACATGTGTTCCCTTTTCCAAATAAAATAACCTATTCAATTATAGGTAGATGATACATTGTAATTTAAACTTTGACGAGGTTGTGTCCTACGTAAATCCAGCGAAAAACATAACAGCTTAACATATTTAACCACATCTGAAGCATTGCAGTGCGATAGAAGAACATGAGTAGAATAGAAATCGCCGGATTTACGTAAGTTTCGGCGTTAAATAATTTATGTATTTACCTGCACGGCGGAACGTACTATTTCTATCCATTCCTTCCAGTAACGAAGAAAAACGTAGCAGAGAATTGTAACCTCTTGTAGATGGATAAATAGCATTTTCTTCAACATTGTTCAGTTAAATGTGTGGTATATCAGCTGTCATTAAGTCATGAGTAGAGTGCAGATTTATATGCATTAAAAACTAACCAAATATGCTTGAAAAAATAATAAAATTGTGTATAAAAATTAACAACAAAAAAAAAATTATTCTTTGAACAATAGTGAAATAATGTCAATATTCTATTAAGACCGTAATTGCTAATTTCCTATCTTGGTATACTTATTTTAATTCCCCGATTAATCTATTATCATATTTAAAAAAAATCGTTAACACCTACAAGTTAACCAATTAATTTATTTTGATATTAATCAAAACTATAAAAATAAAATACTTTTTTCTTATATTATAATAGACAATAATAAGTGTTTAAAAATGTCTTAAAAAAACATCAAAATATGCAAAAACATGCACCAAGAGTTTCATTTTTTAAATTGTTATACCATGAAACAAATTTTTTGCTAACTTAGCCAGAATAAAAATATGCAAATGCATAGAAATTCACGGTATAGTTATTAGTATCTCTTTAAAAATATACTTGTATACTATCATACTTTGAATGATAAAAATAAATATAATTAAAAAGTGAGGTAACAGTTTTTTTTTGCATGTGAAAATCACTGAACCCTATTAATTTTATTAATTATAATAAAAAAATATATACATTATACAAAATAATATAATGAGTGCTCACTTATATCAGATTATAACTTATAGAATAAGAATTGAGTAACTCCCTTTTTTTTACATTAACAAAATATTCTTTTTTAACATACATACAATACATTAGTGTTATTTACAATAAAAAAATACATTATTTTTAACATAGGCTTAATGAGTGATATTAATATTAATATCCATATTTGATACATCGCATAAGTTTTTTTTTTCACTGTATTCAATTTATAACTAATATGAACACGGTCTATAACCTTTTTTCTTGTTTTATGTTGCGATAAACAAAAAAAGTAAAATTTAACAGTGATTGAAAAAAAACAATATAACAAAAATTAACAATTTTGTAAATAAAATTAATCTAAAATATGTATGAAATGATTTTTAACAACAATATGAATTAGTTCGACAATGCGGCAGAAAACATAGTCAACAAGACTAGCCATCAGCCGCAATAAGGAACGGCTACAATGACAATCTGATGGTAAATATCACTTTAAGAATGGTTTGAACATGAAATTTGCTTTCCTACGAATATCTTTTTCTTGTTCAAGTACAAAAAGTGTATCTCGCATGGTAACACGTTTTATCCTTTGTCTAGGTATCTGTTAATATAAACACATATTTTTATTTTATGAAACTATTTTATAACCATTATGTATTACTTACTGTTTGTCTATTTGTTAAACTGGTATTAATACTACAATTTTGGTTCTGAAATTAAAAAAAAATTATTTAACATCAAAAGTCTAAAAAAAAAGTTACTAAGGCTTATAATACAATAAAAATTATTTAAATTTGCCCTTATATTAAAAATAACAAAACCATGATTATTTTATCAAACAAATATTTGCCTATGTATGTAGTTAATGTAGACCACAAATACAAGTTATTGCATCTACTTAACTATTCAACGGAATACTTTTTTTTTAAATTATATAATTTGTGAATTATTAAATATAATTTTAATACAATTTGAAAGATAAATTACATATCAATAATGAAATAATACAAATTGTATAGTATACATTAAATTAAATAAATATTAATTATGTAATTTAAAATTAAATGAGTAAAATTTAAATAAAAAATTACTATACCTGTAAACTAGGAATTATTCCTGGTTCTAATTTTGGTTTTTTCCTAGGTCCAATTGCATTTAAGGCAGTTAAATTAGCTTCTCGCTGTCGTAATTCTTCCATCTCTACCCTTTGCATCTTAAAAAAAAAAATTAATTGATGATTAAAAACTAATTTTTACACCAAAAAAATTATTAATATTATACCTCTTTGGCTTTAGCTTTTAATTTTGCTTGTTCTGGATCTTCATTTTTAGACCTGCTTTTAGCTGCCCGTAATAAGAGCTCTCGCTCCATTTCATCTTGCTTCTTACGTTCAACCTTGTCAATTTCTTCAAGGCATTTGATTTGACCTCGAATATTTCTAGTAATTTCATACCGTTTATCCGCCTAAACATTAAAATATAAAATGGTAAAAAATGTTATTCACAGATGACTATTAAAATTTTACTTTATTAAAATCTAAACGATGCTCCGCTACAACAGCAAATTTTTCTAAAAGATCTTTTAAACGTTCAGCAACTGCATGAGATACTAATGCTGGTACATCTGCTGCAGCATCTTCTAAACCTTCTCTATTTACTAAAAATAAAATTATAAAATATATTAATTGATATATAAAATATTCATCATAGTAATTTAAATTTTTATGAAACTAAAAATACATAAATTAAAAAAAATTAAATAGCTAACTTTAAATTCCATAAGAGTATACTAAAAATAATGAAAAAAAAAAAAACTGATATTGTTATGATAAATAATTTTATACTGTAATAACGAATTACGAAATATGTATCAAGAAGTAAAATTTGAAAGTATGAAAATATATTTATATTTTATTAAGAAGTAGGGTTCAAAAGCTCTAATATATTCTTTTTTTTTTTTTACAACAAAAAGTTAGTTTTAAAAAAATAGATAAAATATCTTAATATAAAATTAAATATAATAATACTAATACTTTATATTATACGGCAATATACACTATACCACAAGTATTATAATAAATAATATTAGTATTTTAAATGCAGAAATAAATAAAATTATAATTGTCAATTATTACATTGAAGGACTAATAAAAATCTGAGAATAGACTGATAACTATTATAGTGGCTAATCATTACTCATTTATTTCATTTTCAGCGCCTTGATCTAGAATTAATGTTGCACTAAAGTTAACCAATAATATCACAAATTACTATTATAGGTATATTAGCTAACATGAGTCATTGATAAAAAATTTAACATACTACATAACATAATGATTCGCTATCGCATCAACTGCTTTTGTAGCTGCTGTTAGTGCATGGCTGAGTTTAAAGTAAAAACAGCTTATTTATTTATTATAATAGATCATAGAGAAGAGTTGCAAAAAGAAAATTACTTAAAGGTTTTGTAAATAAAATGATAAAATAATGTAATACTAATATATTAATAAATATTACAATATTTAACACCTATATGTTAAAGAGCGTTAACACACATCTTACATACCCAGAGAAAACGCCACTAATTCAATTATATGAAATTCTTAATTACCTTAAATTGATAATACAATGTTAGGTATTATTTAGTTTAGTTTAAATTATGCTTTAGTTTTATTACTCTAATCAAAATTATTTTTTTTATTTAAAATAATTCTTATAGAATTAGAAAATTTTATATTTTAACAAAATGTTCTAATATCGTCAAAATAACAAAAATTATTTTAATAAGATTTCAATTAAAAAAAACTTTTCCTTGATAAAATGCATTAAATAATCAAGCATACCATTAAATAAATCTAAATAAAATATACATGACTTTAATAATTACCAATTTGTTTAATTTTTGCTACTAATGGATTTTGCGGTAAAAGTATTTCATCTTTACATGATCTAATTTGTGTTCCAACAAATTCTGTGGAACCTAAAATTCTTTGGGTTTCTTCTGCTAAGTTGACACCACCCATAGCAGCAACATCGTTAATATCATCATCACCACTAATTAAAAATTAATGTTTTGGGTTTAAATTTCACTTTACAGTCATTTATTATTTTATTTAAATTAAAATAATTTTTAATTACACATATGCTGCTGATGACGAAAAAGATTTCTTTTCTTTTTCCTTGGATGGAGGTTTAGACAACGCAACTGTTGGAGGAGCAACAGTAATTGGTGTTGGAGCTTTGCTGATCATTGTAGGTTGTGCTATTATATTTGGTGATGGTGGTATCCGAGGTTGAGGCATTGTTATACTATTAGTTTGTAGTGGTGTTGATACTATAGGAGTACTAATTTTAATATGGGATCCAGCTGGTGTCTTAAGAGGTACTGCTTTAACAAGCATCTGCCGACCACTACCCACTGGTGGTCTTGGGGATGATGTTGATGTAAGTGGTGGAGGAAGTGTAGTAGCTTGAGAAGATACTATTGGAGGTTGGATACGAATTGAACCCATTTTATTAACAGCTGTAAGACCTGTTGGAGTTTGTACCCTGACTTGTTGCTGTAATATAAAATTACAACAAATTAAGAAATGAACACCAGTTATGATTTTATAAGTAATTGAAAATTAAATTAAACAGAAATAATTAAAAACTTTCAGTATAAATATTTAAAAACATTTTAACTTAGTAAATGAAATTAAAAATATATACACTAAGAAATTAGATTTTTTAAGAACTTAATGATATAAAATAATTTGATTTTAGTCAAACAAACAGGAATAAAGTTAAGACAGTTTTAATGCATGATAAATTTGAAAAACTAAAAAAAGCAGTTTAACTTACAGAAACAATTCTATGTTGTTGTTGAGAATTAATTGTTCTTGCTGGTGTTAAAGCTGGTTGGGAAGTCATTATTCTAACCGTTTGTTGGTTAGATGCTGCATTGCTTAAGATATTTCCCATTACTTGTGTATTCTATTAAAAGTATAATAATATTGCATTAAATAAGTAATTCAAGTGTGAAAATATTCTATAGGTTATAAAACCACTAACATACAATAAGTATTTTACTTATAACTATATATATTATTACTATATGTCTTGTTTTGTAAAATATAACACCATTTAATAGTTTTAAAAAGTAAAGAAAATTTCTTAATGATCTCCAGCCCAAGATCTGTTAAATAGATATACTATAAATCTTATAATAGAATAGAGATTTCTTTATTGTGTAAAAATTAAATATAATGCTGAAGCAATCTTTCTAAGTCTTGTTACTCAAAATGATTCATTTTTAATCAAATTTTTTTTTTTATTATTAATATTTCAGAGATTTTAAGTAAAAAATGTTTTAATTTTTTACTTTGAAATAAAATATTTATATGAATAATATTAAGCACAAAATATTTTAAATATTGAACAAATAGTCTATTGGAGATTTCTATATACATATTATTAAGAATAAAAAACTTAAACTTGTGGGCAACTATGAATCTATATTTATAACAAAAACAATCATAAAATTAAGACATTGTTCCGAAAAAATATCACAATTATATCTTGTTAGTACTGAATACAAATTTTCAATTTTCAAACTTCATAATCACAATAATTTGAAGACAGTCTTGATAAATTAATTGGATTCATAAGCAACTTTAAATTTGAAGAAAAATAGATATTTTTCAATAAAATCTCAAACATATTTATGACAATTATTTGAAATACAAAATTAACAATCAAGTGAAATTTTTTAGCATAAATAGGTTAGATTGTAATATTGATATATATATATATATATATATATCAATTGAATACATTTTCTCAAACTGCATACAACATTTTTTCATGGAAAGCACCAGATTCAAATCTAAGATCATTCCACAAAATATTTAGTGTAACAAGTAACATGTCACACTGAAAAATAAACATAAGCTATTTGCTTAATTACTGTCAAAATGTTGTAAAAAGTAATGGGATAAAGGATTTTATTAAATTAAAATTATTACTATACATAATAATTTTTCTAAATAATTTTATTTTTATGAATTATTCAAACATCAAATAAATAAAATAAAAAACTGAATATTGATTTTATATATCACACATAATGATTATGTGAGTAAAATACATTTAAAAAAAATATAAGAATTTGAAGTATTTATTTTTAATAATTATAATTTAAATTTTTTATATCTACAATTTAAAAATGTAAATTTTTAATCAATTTTGAACATAATGCTTCTAGAAATGTAATTAAAATATTATAAAATAGTTAAGACGAAAATATTAATTTTATCATACCAAAATGGTTTGTAACAATTATAAATAAATACCAAATTTCAAATTTTGATGTAAAAAGAAATATAACAATTTTTACCGTTGCTTGCTGCTGATTAGCTAAAACAACAGTAGGTTGAGCACTAAGTTGTGGTGGTCGAATTCCATCAATCACCATTTCTTTTAACATAAGTGATTGCCTCAGAAGTGGTAGACTTTTCTGTAAACAATTAAAAAAAATACTTGAATTAATATTAAATAAGCGAAAACAAAATAATAAAAACTAATACCTTGAGGAAACCAATAAGGCACGGTTGTGGTGAAGCATTTAGAAGTTTCTCAAGTCGATCACAAAACTGTTCTGGCTCCACCTTGGCATCAACCAATTCTTGTATAAGGGTTCGCACACTCCTTTCTACAGGTTTAGGTTCTTTACTTGACAATTCAAGTAAATTGGCTAAAAATTTTCGGCATTTTTCTTTAGTATTGTCTTGTTGAATTTTTTGATGCGCCTAACAATTAAATAAGCTCTTAAATATCTCAATTAATTTATAAAATTGAATTAATTATTAACAATACCTGTTGAGGTTGAGCGATCGTTTGAGTTGGTGTTGTAGTTGGTGTACCAGCAATGGAAACATTGTTCTGAAATTATATTTTTTAATTCAATTTAAATACATACAAAGATTTATTTAAGCCTTTTATCAAAGTATTTATATCTTTAAACGTCAGGAAAGGAAGTTTATTAATTACAACATGATGTAATTATTATTTTTATTAATTAAAATTAATAGAATAAAATAATATTAATTAAAGATAAATAGTTATTAATTTTAAATACCAATTAAAATTATTATTAATTAACTTAAATCACAATACAAATAATAATTATAATAATTAAAGATCAGATTTCAATACATTTGTATTTTAATTAACTTTTTTTTGATTACAATACTTACCAAGTTACAAATTTGTTTTTAAAGCTAACTATTCTAATAAAATAATTATTCGAGTATTTTTTCATTTTTAGGTTGTTTAGATTTATATAAAATAAAGTATGTGTTTTTATCTTTGTATGGTATGTCATAATCTGGTATTAAAATTATACGAATCACATTTTTCTTGATGACAAGATCGTCACATGACCACTGGTCTGTTATATACATACAGATACTAATTTTATTACTTCAACATAGGTTAATTAATTTTTTATTTACAAGATATTAATAATACTATATTATTAAAAATAAATTTTTTTTGGTATACTTTATGAAGCTATTAGTGTCATAAATAAAAATATTAAATTTTTTAAAAGAATTTAAACAATATAATTCTAGCCTTCAAAAGAACATATCCCTCCCCCTACTAATTTTGCAATAACTAAAAAATTGTGTTTACATGTACGAAATGATTATGTTCTTTTATAGATCAGAGTATAGAAATTATAATAAATTATTTACAATTTTAAATTTAACATTAAGTTTAAAACTTTATGGGTAATAACTTATATGTCTCATAAAAATTCTAATATCATATATTGATTAATTGATTATTGGCAATGCAATTATATTACAAAAATACCCTAATATATTTATTTTTGAAATTATTCCTGTTATTCTACAAAATCCTATTTGTTAACAAGTCTTATTCTCATCACTATTTAAAAAATAAGATAATAAAATATAACTTACAGTTGCAACTGAAGGAACAGATTGAACTCTAAAATTTGCATTATTTTGGGTAATAGCATTTCCTTGACTAGGTGCTGGGCCAACTCGTAATAACTGGTACTGGCCATTTTCAGTCTTTAACAATATATGTCCACCTTGTGCTTGTTGGAGTGTTTGTAGAGTAAGCTACAAATAACAAATAAAAATATATCAATAAAATTTAATAATGAATTTAGTGAATCACACTAATTATACTGAAACATTTCAAATATATATCCAGTAAAACATCAATAGTTCAACTTCAGACATTTCAAATCTGGTGAATACATTTTTTCTAATTTATTATTAAAACAGATAAATAAATGGAGTAGACACAAAATATTTTGGTTATTTGAGTACACTTAGTTCTTTAACAACCCTTAATTGTCAGGATAACACTTGGTCTGACTTTGTCCAAACTATCAAGGCTTTATAATAATTTAGTATTTTCAATAGCTAGAATAAAAGATTATTTGTTATTGCATATTAGTTTTTAATTATAAGTTATACTTTATGCAAGCAAAAGTTAGTATATAAAGTTAAAATTGTTTAACTTACTCCAGGTGCACCAGGACGGGCCCCAACTACTTGAGGTATCATTACTCTTGACATATTTTTATTAACTCCTCCTTGAGAGTTTTGTGGCCGCAATGCATTTACATTAAGTATTTGTACATTTGCTGGCAAAATTGTTTGAGGAGAGTTACCAGTAACTACACCCTGTGCCATTTGCTTAGAAACAGTAATAACATTGGATGAAACAGAGGATTGATTGGACGATACTTGTCCAGGTAAAGTCATTGTGGAAACTGGAGGTGAATTATGGTGATGCTGTTGAGAAGTTGACTTAATTACAACAGCAGTTCCAGTACCTGTAAGAAAATCATGTTAACAACATAAACTACAACAATTTATTAGTCTGATGTGAGATATAATAAATTCCTCAGTAATTTAAAAAAACAGATTGTATTGCCTTAAAAAAAATAATAAAAAAATAAATGCAAAAATTGTTTAAATTTACATGTGTGTTGATAAAAAAAAACTAATTAGAAACTACAAATTATAACCAGGCTTAAAGAAAACACTATAAAAGAAATAATCTGAGGGAGAATAAATTATTAGAAATGTTAATTTCTTTATAAATCTGGCTCAGTTAATAAACCATTGGCATTTGAATAAGATTTTTTGATAATAGCATTGATTGATCTTATAATATATATTCTAAATATAAAAATAATTAAGAAATAATGGATTACCACCTACCTATAAAATGATGATTATTCGATTGGGCTTATCAAAAATAGGTCATAATAAGCTACCACTATTAACCAACAGCGTACGGGCAATACAGAATAACATGACATTGACAATGCAAGTCATCAGCGAGTTACGGATCATGTTATATAACACTATTCCTTAGTGTAATGGGTGTACAGAGAATGGAGCCGGAGACTGTTTGCGGTGGTGCCCAACACAGTAGGGCTCGTAGTCTAGTCATACGAAACATTGGCGGTCCGGACAGAAGTCATGTAGGACATGTAGGTATTATCCCTATATTATATCATATAGTGTCGGTGTAAGGTGTGTGGCGTTAGCGACGCATAGGGCAATAACGCGCAACAAGACAATTTCTAACCTGTACTAGTAGAATTGATCGTGCCGTTTGGCAGCGAATTGACGGGCACGTAATTTCGACTATTGGCCGAATTTGAGTAAACCACTTTGACTTGGTCCAGCGATTTCATGGGTTGCGGTGCCGCGTAATTGTGCGCCAACGTTGGATTGACGACATGATGAAGATGTTGCTGTTGCTGCTGCTGCTGCTGTTGTTGTTGTTGCTGTTGGCCAACAAAATCTGCCTGACTGATGCCCGGCATTAAATTATCGCAGTGGCTGTATACACGTCAAACGAAAAAAAAAAATTAACAAACCGATCAGCATAGGTTAAACGCTGGAGCGCGTCACAAGCGCGGCGTTTGTACGCTGATGAATGCAGGCGGCGGCCGCCCCGCGGCGCGCGCCACGGGGATATCGCGGACAGCTGGCCGCGGGTGTTGCGGTGCCGCAAAAGCAAAGTTTGTTGTACAACAGAGATAACGACGTATAGAGGAAAACTTTTGTTCAAAACAAACAACAGCAACAACAACAACGACGACGACGAACGCCTAACCGTATACGCGGGTACGTTACTACATGCGGCGGAAAAATTGTTAAACGCACCGTTTTAGTGCCACGGACGAGGAGTGGGGAACGGTCTTTGGACGACGGGGCAAGAGTGCGAGGCGGGGAGCAGAGCGCGCAACCGACGACGACGTCCGGTGTGTGCGCGCGCGCCACGGTAGCAGGTAGTGCGCGGTGGGACGGGGTACGCCGTGTACGCATGCACATCAGTCTGCGATCCGAGTCGGTCAGAAAATGGCGTCAGTCAAGTTTCTGGAGGAAGTACTCAGTAAGGACGTGGACGAAAACGCGTTCAGTGCAATCGTGGTGTCGCTGGAAAGCGAGCTTGTTACCAACACGTCGGTCGTGTCCACCAGTAACAGGAGTCACCACCACAACAACAACAACACCACACCAACAGCGGCACGGCGCAGCAGCAGCAATATCTGTCACAGCTACAGCAACCGCGCGCAAAACAACAGCAGCAGCACGTCTTGGTCAGCGGTGCCCGGTCCCGCCTCCTCGATGAACAAGTGCATATCAGCGCATCCAACAACAACAATAGTCTTTGAAGTGGTTCGTTTGTTGTGGGGGTGCTAGCTGTTTTCGCGCACTCGACGGGACGACGACGTTTTTGGCGCGAGCTCTTCGACAGGGTTATTCCGCCTCGATCGGCCCGTTGGCCTGGCGCGGTCGTACGGTATGCGTGAGTACGTGGTCGGGGAATAGGAGGCCGACGAATATTTGGCGTAGGTTTCCGACATAG